ATATATATGAGATTGAGTTGGTAGATTGTTGTTCTTTTTCTATTTGATGAAGGTGTTGAGTTAGATCATTAACTTTGCTTCTTCATTTTCTATGTGTTTGTCTATTGCTGTGAACTGCCCCCTGAATACTGCCTTACCTACATCCCAGAAGTTTTGGTACGTTGTATTTTGATTATAATTTGTTCAATGAACTTTTCTTTATTCATGATTTACTTCTTTTATAACAGAATCATGTTCCAACAGGGTGTTATTTAGATTCCAAGTTGGTGTCTTTATAAGCTTTATCCTCTTGTGCTTAATTTCTAGTTTTATGTCATTGTGGTCTGAGAAAATACCTTGCATTATTTAAATGTTTTAGAATCTGTTGAGGCTTACTTTGTGTTCTAATATGTGATCAATTCTGGAGAATGTACTGTGTGTGCTTGAGAAGGAAGTTGAGTTTTCTTTGGCTGCAGTGCTCAGAATACATACACAAGATAAAGTTGGCTGACTGTGTAGTTTAGATTTTCTGGATCTTTTTTATGTTTCTTTTGCGTTGACTTATCCTTTGATGAGAGTGGTGTATGAAAGTCTCTTACCACTATGTTGGTGCTGTATATTTCTTTCTTCAATTTTGTTAACAGTTTTTTTTATGTATTTAGCAGGTCTATCATTTGGTGCATATATGTTGACCAATGTTATGTCTTCTTGATCTGTTGTGCCTTTAATCCTTATATAATGCTCTTCCTTATATTTTATGGTGGTTTTCATTCTGAAGCCTATATTATCAGAGTTGGGTTGGTTTTTTTTTTTTGCCACCTCTGCTTTTTTTGTGATGCCGTTTGCTTGGTATATTTTTTCCAGCTTTTGATTTTGAGTCAGTCTTATTCTTCCTTTCTTAGATGTGTCTCTCGTAGACAACATACTGATGGACTTTGCTCTTTTATGCATTTTTCTACTTCTCTTTATTGGTGTATATAGTCTGTTCACATTAAGTGTGATTATTGGCAGGCCACGTTTTATGATTTCTATTTGGCTCTGTTTCTTTTTTCTGTTGTTTCTTGTTACTATTTACTTTTACTTTCCTTTTGTGTCTCTGTGCGAAGATCTTTCCTTAAATGTTCTTGTAGATTTGGTCTTATTTTCACATATTCCTTAAGTTCTTTCTTTTCTGCAGAGGATATTATTTCTCCTTCATATTTGGTGGAGAGCTTTGCTGAGCACAGGATCCTTGGTTGGCAGTTGTTTTGTTCAACTTTCTTTATACGCCATCTTATTTGTGTTCTTGCTCTTGTGGTTTCTGCTGACAAACCAGAATTTAATGTTATTGTTTAACCTTTGTAGTTGACTTCGTTTATCTCATGCTACTTTTAGTATTCTGTCTTTATCTTTTATTTAGAGGAATTTCAATTCTTTCTTCCGTCTTTTGAATTTTTTTCTGTAGTTATACAAGTTCTTCCTCTTCAGTATATTTCTTCTGGCTCCATGTTTCTGGAGTTTTTGCTTTCATGGTTGTTTCTTTTGTTCCTTTCATCATTTGCACCTTTTTTCAAATAACTCTTCATCAATATATTTCTTCTGGTTCTCTACCTCTAGGGTATTCCTTTTATTTGTGACTTCCATTGTTTCTTTCATCATTTGTACTTTCTTCCATAGAAGCTTGAATTATATATCAACATGTATAATCTGTCTTCTTGACTCTAGGGTATTAATGAGGTTTGTAATATTCTCTGCTTTTTTTTTTGAAAAGGCTTAATTTTTTAATTTTAACAGCGTTTGAAGCTGTCTGCTGCTTTCTCAACATTATGTGAAGTTTCTTTTTTATAAGTGTTAGACTGTTCCTATTGTTTCTGAATAAGTTGCCGGTTATTCTTATATTTATGATGTTATTGGTTAGTTGCCAGATTAAAGTGTTCAATCTATAGGGTGTGCCATTCACCTTTCTGGAAGTTCTTTCTGGGAAATTTGCCTTTCCTAAGGCACTTCAGAGTCTCTCTGTTCTGTACATCAGCCCTCCAAGAATCTCACTGTAGTTCCCTGTCCCAAACACTATTGTCCTCCTTCATTTGTGAAGTGACCAGAGTAGTATGAGCCCAATTACTCCACTCGAGCAGTTTATATCTTAAAGAGTTTCAAGTCAGCTCTCTTTTTTGCAGCTCAACCTGCCAGTTGAAAAAGTAAAAAAAAATACTTTTCCCTTATTTGTAGTTCTAGGTCTCAATCTCTGTTGTCCTATTTTGTTCCTAGAATGTCCCCACTGCCATAGAGGCAAGGATCCCCAAATGGAGGGACCTATCCACAGGGAGGTTTCAGTCCCTTCTCCCCACAAGCATCCCAAAGGGCTTGTTCTGGGCAGCAGTTTCTCACCTCATGCCTTTTCTCTCCTGAAGCTTACTATCCTTTCCTGGGGTGGCAAGATAACAGTGTCACCAACTTTCACAGTTTGTATGCAGGGGGCATGGTCTCAAGTCACGGGGTGACACTGCACACAGTGCAGATTCTGCTGTGAGTTATTAATGATTGCATGGGAAAATATATTGGTCAGAAAGTCCCAGATGCATATTTATTACAAGAAGGCTCAACTACCCATTTACCCTCGTGAGTCTTTATGGACTCAAATGAGTCATTATGCATTCTGTTTCCTTCAGAAACCTTAAACTATTTGTCTGCAGAAAGGAGGGCACTATTAGCAAACCAGATTGTGCCCCTGTTTCTTCTGTGTGTGCTAAGCTTCTGAAGAAACATACTTCTCCTAAAATTCCTGTTCCCATGACTATCAAAATTTTGATTATTATGTTGCTGGTAAAATGCTTTTACACCTGTCTTCTTGAACATTGTTAGTGTTGAGTAAACCCTTGGTTATCGAATGAGAATATACATTTAAACACAACTTGATTCTTTAATGTAATAAATTACTTTTATGCTTGGGCTATTTTTCAGTGTTTACAAAGATTATTTAACTTCAAGGAAACCATACTTTGGCTTTTTGTGTATTATAGACATTTCATGAAGTGTTTTTCTCCTTTTATCTCTTGTCATACATGCTTACACCAAAGGCTCTACCTTCTTACATTTAAATCCCATGATATCTGAGAATTTTACTATGGTGAATGATGACATTAAAGCACTTTGTTTGATTTAACATAGAACAAACACTAAGTTTACAACAGTAGTACTGTCTCCCAGCAGGAATAGGTAGTTTTGTGTAATAACAAGTATCTTAAAATGATTAAGCTATAATATTGTCTTGTCCATAGTTCATAGTCCATAGTACATTATTTCTGAAGTGAAACTGCTCCACTACTCTCCTCTTCCTTCAATAGCATCATTAGAAACACACAGATTAGGAGGATTGGAATCAGAGAAATCAAATGGAGCTAGTAGAACATCAGAGCATTGCATTTTTACTCTTTGTAGTTTTGTCCTTCAGAGTAAGACTTATATGCTATTTAAAAAACCCTATTTTTCACATTATATGCATTATTTTTATGTAGCATAAACAACATAGTACAGTGTTGCTCCATATTGCCCAGAACACATGCTTTCAGAATTAAGTATCCTGTGAGAAGAGAGAGACATACATTATTCTAACAAAGTTACAAAGTAAATAATTATCTGATTAAAAAAATATATACAAATCCTGGCAACAAATTAGCCATGTGAAGAATGACTTGCTTCTTGCTGCTTATTGTCTGAATAGATAGTTTTATAGACTCTGGTTGAAGCCTTGTTGTAAAGTGGCTTCTCTGGTTTCCTTCTTTGCTTCTTTTCTAGTTCCTCCTCTTCTCTGGTCCCCTTACCTGTCCACATCTCTCTTACACATTTATGGTGAACATTAGTGACACAACAAAGGTACACACACCACTGTGTCTAGAGGAATAATCTCTCTGTATGGAAATAAAGAAAAGGTGATTATGTTTGATATTTATATAGTTTTTTAATGTGAGTGAATGAAAGTTTACAAAGAAATTGGGTTTTCATTCTCTCATTCTTATAGATATCTACCCTTGCCAATCTGTAATACATGGTCAGTTCCTAATTGTTAATTGCAAAGCACATAATACTTATCTATTCATTTCAGGTTGACCTTCCTTTCACCTGTACCAATTCACTGTCTGATACCTGGCCATTTTTTCCCTGTTCTTCACCCTTATAACACACTTATTTTAAAACAGTGGTCATGCACAGTATTTGTTCTTTTGTGACTAAGTTATTTCACTCAGCATAATGCCTACTAGACAACAACAGTGTCCTCTAGACTCAAGCATGTGTGTTTCATGAGTTCTTCATTGTTTTTCAATGCTGTGTAATATTTCACTGTGTGAATATACCACAATTTTTCTTTCTGTTCTTTTGTTGGTGGATACCTGGACTGCTTCAATTTATAGAATTGTGATTATTTAAATGCTTAAATAAACATGAATGTATGTGAATTTCTTTGTGTCACAGCTCTGATTTCTTTAGCGTGTATTCCTAGTTGTGGAATAACTGAATCAAATGGTATTTCTATTTTCAGTCATTTGAGGAAGCACCAGACTGCCTTCCTTCGTGGTTGTATCATTTTACAATCTCATCAGGAGTGCATGAGAGAGCTGCTCTCTGCATTCTCATTAGCATTTTTCTTGTTGTTGTTATTATCTTATTCAACCCTGCTGTTATTGCTGGGATAAGCCTATGTCTCAGTGTTCTTTATTTTCATCTCAATTTTTTTTTACTTATTCTGTTAATCTTTCTTTGTGAATTCCAGGGTCTTTTATTACTACTATAAAAATGTGAATAATAAAAGTTTAATTATGATTTCAGTAGAAGCAACATATTTCTCATCATCACTTCCCTATATCATTTGAGAAAGAGTGTTTTGTGGAATGAGAAAGATGAGTGAGCAGTACAAGTCTAAGCAGCACTGTGACAATGGGGATCATAGAGGCAGCAAGTATTATTTGGAAATCAAAAGCAGTAACTGGCCTTGATAATAAACTTTCTATAATTCTTTAAAAATAACATATTCCTCTCTATTCCAGCCTTTATCTTCTATGCCAGAGAGTTCTGAGATAATAAAGAAACAGAAGTGCTACAGCAGTGACAGCAGTTATGACAGTAGCAGGAGCTGCTCAGAATCTGAAGAAAATGAAAAAGATGATTATCAAAGCAGGAAAAGAGAAAAGCAAGTTACGTATAATCTTAAAAACTCCAGCCACTACAAATTAATTCAACCATCTAGTAAGTTCATTTCCTTCTCATCGATTTGTTTATCAAGAATTATGTAATTTGAATTATTGAATCCAGCAAAAAGACTTTGGGCCAAATAAACTCCCTGGTTGTGCATGAGGAGATCTAAAGTGTATTTTTACTTCGTGGGCATGTTTTTCCAACTCTTCAGATTCTGAAAGTGATGAATGAAAGAGTACAACTAACGATGTTAATAGTCCATTCTGCTGTAGTTCCTTGCTTTTGTTTTTGTTACTTGCCGTGCCATTGAGTTCACTGAGACTCATAGTGACCCTGTGCACAATTCTGAATGCTGCTCTATCCTGAGCCAATCTCATGGTCTATGACACACCTACCCTTATTACCCCAGTTATTGTGTCATCTTATCTGTGTTTTTTGTCTTCTGTGCTGTCCCCAGGCCATTTCAAGCATGATATCCTTCTCCAAAGACTCTAGAGAAGTTGCTGACAGCGTATTTCCCAAATGCTATTCATCTTTTGATTTCCTAACTGCTAGTGCCAAGAGTGTTGACTGTGGAACTAAGCAAGCTGCAATTAACAGCCTCAATCTCTTCTCCATCCTTGCTTTTCCTAAGAGTTAAATTCTTGTATGAATTGTGTAAAATGTTTTAAAATTTGCCTTATGGCACATCTATTGTTTATTCTCTTTTAAACAAATATTTTCTCTTTTCCTACATCTTCCTCACCTATTTTGCTTTTTTTCTTTTTAAATACATGCATATATTTCCTTGGAGGCTAGGATTTTGAAGCTCTTTCACATACTTTGGGCACATGGCCAGGAGAGACCGGTCCTTGGAGAAGGACATCATGTTCGGAAGGATGAAGGGACAGTGCAGGAGAAGAAGCCCTCTGATGAAATAGATCAATACAATAACTGGGTAAATGGGGGTAGATGTGTCTGAATTAGTGAGACTGACTCAGGACAGGGTTCAGAGCTGCTGTACATCAGGTCACCATGGGTCACAGGCCACTTGACGGCATATAACAAGAACAATTTAGCTATACATTAACTTGGCTATATATCTATGAGGGGGCTCTGGTGGTTTGGTGGTAAGGACCTATGCTATTATCTCAAAGGCGTGCTGCTCAAATCTACCAGATGCTCCATGGGGAAAAGATGGACAATCTCTTCCTGTATGATTAAACTGAGTCTGAAAACTTGCACGAGGGTCAACTGAGTCAGTTCCGACTCAACTGTACACAATAACAACAACATACATCTTTGAGCCACCCATTTGTGAAAAAGTTGAAATTTTATTCCTTCTCATTTTCATGATGAGTATGCATTTAAGTTGTAAGAAACAAGAAGTACTCAGGAAAACATGAAACTGTCCTCGCCCCCTTTCTTCCTTTCTTTATTTTTGTAATTTTCTCTCATATTTTGTGTTTTAATCTTTATTCAACCATGATAGTAATGTGTCCATGATTCTCTTTTATTGTTGTTGTTAGGTGCTGTTGAGTCGAGTATGCCTCATAGCGACCCTATGAACAGTGGATCTAAACCTCATCCTGTCCTGTGCCATCTTCACACTTCCTGATAAACTAGAGCCCGTTGAGGCAGTCCCTATGTCATTCCATCTAATTAAAGATCTTCCTCTCCTTCACTGACCCTCCACTCTTCACAGCATTGTGTCCCTTTCCAAAGAATAGCTGCTCTTCACGACAGACCTGAAGTATGTGAGGTGAAACCTCATCATTCTTGCCTCCAAAGAGCACTCTGGCTGCACACTCTCTATGACATAGCGGTTTGTGCTCTTGGCTGTCTATGAGATATTATTAAATGCTCTTCAACAACACCATAACTCAAAGACATAAGTTCTTCTTTTGCCATCCCTATTCTTTATCCAGCTCTCAGAGCAAGTAATCAAAATGACCATGGCATGAATCAGATGCCTCTTAGTCCTCAATTATTTGGAGAGGTCCCTAACTACAGACTTTCCCAATGCAATATGTCTCTTGTTTTTGAATGCTGGTACCAAGGATGTTAATTTTGGATCCACATAAAATGAATTTATTGACAGTTTTAATATCTTCTCCATCCACCTGATGTTGCCTATTGGTCCAGTGGTAAGAATCTTTGTTTTGACATGAAATGCAAGCCGTATTGAAGGCTGCATTCCTTGATCTTCTGCAACAAGCGTTTCAGGTTGTCCTCATTTTCAACAAACAAGGTTGTGTCATCTGCATAACTCAGTTTCTTGATGAGTACTCTGATCCTCCTTTCCCTCTGATCTTGATGCCACATTCCTTTCCATAAAGTCCAGATTCTTGAATACTTTGTTCAGCATACAGATTGAATAGGTATGAAGAGAGAATACAGCCCAGACACAATCTCTTCTTAATTTTAGACCATGCAATGTTTCCCTGCTCTGTTTGCATAACAGCTTCTTGGTATAGGTATAGATTTTGTATGAGCACAGTTAATTGCTCTGGGATTCCCATTCTCCTCAATGTCAACCACAACTTGTTATGATCTACTCCGTCAAGTACTTTGCATAGTCAATATAGTACAAATAGACATTCTTCTGAAATTCTCTACTTTGAGCCAGGATCCAGCTGACACCAGCAATTATATCCCTGGTTGCTCTTCTAAATCCTGCTTGAATTTCTGGCTGTTTCATATCTATGTACTGTTCCAGCCATTTTTTAATGATCCTTGGCAGTATTTTGCTTGTATGTGATATTAATGATATTGTTCAGTAGCTTCCACATTCTGTTGTATGACCTTTCTAGGGAATGGGAACAAATATGGACCTCTTCCAATCTCTTAGCCAGACAGCTGTTCTCCAAAAGAGCTGTTGTCCAAAAATGATATTACAAAGATAGAGGGAGAAGACCTAGATGGATATCAAAAGAGACCCTGAATATTGTGCTAGAACAATGAAAAGCCAAAATAAAGGGAAAAAAATCAAGAAATTAAGGAGCTGAATAGAAGATTCCAAAGGGCACCTTAGGAAGACAAAACAAAGTATTATAATGAAATGGGCAAACAGCTGGCATTGGAAAATGAAAGGACTTGAACTCTCTCAGCATTTCTTAAGCTGAAGGAACTATAGAACAAATGTAAGCCTTCAATTAAAATACTTAAAGATGCTAGGGGCAGGAAATGAAATGATCCAGGAAGCACAAAGCATACGGGAGCAATGATTTTAAAAATCACCAATTAACTTTGGAGGGACTAGAGAACATTATGATAAATGAACTAACTCAATCCCATAAGGACAAATACTGTATAAGACCATTATTTTAGAAATAGAAAGATAACAAGTAAAATGTGTATGAAGATTCAAATTAGAAAGAGAAGGATCAGAGTGATAAGGATAGGCGGGGTGTGGGGTAAGTGATAGGGTTGTGCCATTTGATGGGTAGATGAAGGGGTGGATAAAGCAAATGGGAAAGATCTGATGTGAAAAATAATGTACACAAACTTTGTATATAAACCAATTGTTGTTTGTTGTTGTTACGTGCAGTTGAGTTACCTGTGACCATAGTGACCCTATGTACAGCAGCTCTGAATCCTGCCCTGTCCTGAGCCGGTCTCACTAATTCTAACACACCAATCATCATTGCCCCAATCACTGTTTCAATCCATTTCATCTGGAGTGTTCCTCTCCTGCACTGTCCCGCCAGTATAAAAATAAAAATTTTATTAAAAAAAAAAAGAAGGAGATGGAATATACAGAGTCACTGTACCAAAAAAAATTTAAAAATTGGATGATACAGAATAATTTCAAGAAACAACATATGGCCAAGGGACAATGGCAATGAAAGAGGAAGTCCAGGCTGCTCTGAAGAAACTGACGAAAGACACTCCCCAGGAATTGATGGAATACCAATTGAAATATTTCAACAAACAGATGCTGCCCTGAACATTTCCACCAAGTTGGGTCAAGAAATCTGGAGGACCACTGCCTGACCAACTGACTGGATGAGATCCATATTTATTCACATTAAAAAAAAAAAGATGACGCAACAGAGTGTGGAAATTATTGAACAATATTACTAATTACATAATCACATTCAAGCAAAATCCTACTGAACATTATCCAAAAATGGCTTGAATGGCATATCGACAGAATTACCAGAAGTATAAGCTGGGTTTAAAAGAGTTTGTCACACTGGAGGTATTATTGTCAATGCCTGATTGATCTTTGCTGAAAGCAAAGAGTACCAGAGTATTATCTATCTGTGTTTCATTGACTATACAAAGGCATTTGACTATGTGGATGATAGCAATTTGTGGCTAACCTTGAGGAGAATGGGAGTCCAGAACACTTGATTGTGCTCAAAACCTATACTTGGACCAGGAAGCAGTCATCAGAACAGAACAAGAAAACACTGCTTGGTTCATAATTAGGAAATTGGTGCATCAAAGATGTGTCCTGTCTCCATAACTTTTCAATCTGTATGTGGAACAGATCATTCATGAGTCTGGGCTTTATGAGGAGGAATGTGGCATAAGGATTGGAGGAACACCTATCAGCAATCTGCAATATGAAGATGACACAACCTGACTTACTGAAACTGAGGAGATACCTGAAGTACTTGCTGCAGAAATTCAAAGACTGTAGTCTTCAATATGATTGAAGCTGAATATCAAGATGACAAAGATTCTCACCACTGGACCAATTGGCAGCACCACAATAGACGGAGAAGAGGTGGAGGTTGTTAACAGTTTCAGGTTTCTTGGCTCCATAATCAACACTCTTGGCCTCAGCAGTCAGAAACTCAAAAAATGAATTGCACTGGGAAAATATGTCTGAGAAGACACAATGTCAGTCTAGAGACTAAGGTGTGCCTGATCCAGATCATGGTCTTTGTAATTATTTGATATGCATCAGAGAGCTGTATAGTGACTAAGGGTGACAGAAGAAGAATCTGTCTTTGAGTTGTGGGGCTGGAGAAGGGCATTGAATACACTATGGACTGCCAAGAGAACAAACAGTTCTGTCCTGAAGAGGGTGAAATCAAGTTTCTCTTTGAAGGCTAGGATTTTGAAACTCCATCTCACATATTTTGGGCACGCGCCCAGGAGGGATAAGTCCTTGGAGAAGAAATCATACTTGGGAGGGTGGAGAGACAATGCAGGAAAAGACGACCCCAATGAGATGGAGTGACACAGAAACTGGGGTTGTGGGGAAGGTGTATTGGAACCAGCGAGACTGGCTCTGGATAGGGAAAGCTTCAAAGCTGTTGTAGCTATGAGTCACAGGTGACTCAATAGCACATTATAACAACAATATACTTTGCCCTTTGCCTTTTTTTTTTTGTCTTATGGTTCTACTAATACAATATCTTAAATTAGAAGCTTTTTGAGTTTTTTTAAACTCTTCATCAGTGCTTAAGAAGTTAACTTTCCTGATATTGTATATGTTTATGGCTGGGCTCCTGCTTTTTATAAAACCAATTACATATTTAAGCTTCTTTAAGATAATAGGGCTTTCTTATGCTTGTTTATTTTACTCATGAGACATAATTCTTTAACTTATCCATTTACCTGGCCCTTCTTTAGACTGCTTTCTGTCTTTCCCTACGTATCTTTCCAGTCTCAAACCTACACGTTGATTTATCAAATGATTAGTCTAATTTTAAGGAAAGTGGATGGAAATATGCTGCCAATGTAGAACAAAATCAAGCCTTGAGTGAGTTTCAATACTTAAGGATGCTTTGGAAAGAATATTAAATGATCCAGGAAACATTAAAAGAAGTTGGAAAGAGTATATAGAGTCATTGTACCAAAAGGAGTTGGCAGACAAAGAAGAATTTTATGAAATAACGTCTGAGCAGGAGCCTGTGATAATGATGGAAGAAGTTCAAGCTGCTCCAAAAGAATTGGCAAAACACAAAGTCCCAGGAGTTGACAGCATATCAATTTACATATTTCAATGGATGCTCCTCTGGATGTGCTCACAAAGTTGTGCCAAGAAATCTGGAGGACAACCACATGCTCAACTGACTGGAAGAGACCTATATTTGTTCCCATTCCAAAGAAAAGTGACCCAACAGAGTGTGGAAATTTTTGAACAACATCATTGATATCACATGCAAGCAAGATTCTTCTGAAGATTATACAAAAAGGCTAGAACAACACATCAACAGAGAACTGCCTGAAGTACAAGTTAGATTTGGAAGGGGCCATTTTTTCTCCCCTTTTAAACAGTTTTCTCCCTCATCTGTTTCTTTTTTTTTTAAATTAAATTTTATTAGTTTTAATGAACATTTACAGGGATTTTGGGTTTTCATTCATTCATTGTTGCACTGTTTTCTCCACCCTCATCCCCAGTTTGTTCTTCTTTCCCCCCCATGTCTGTTTTAATTGTCCAATTGCCACAGTGCTTGTCAAAGCCAGTTCTGATTAATCTCCTTTGTCAGTGTGTCCCTTGCCATTCCCTATCATTCCTCCCTGAGAGAGACTTCACCCTGATTCATAAGGAAAAGGGGATGGCGTATTCTCTTAGCTACTTCCTGCTGAAAAGGGACGCTGTGGGTTTCAGGGTGAATGTCTTCTGTCACTACTCTAAAGGGCCCCTTTGGCAGTAGGAAACACATAGACTATTATGGAGATTGATTTTGGAATTTAGATGCAGTGTTATCAGTTGTGCTTAGCCGTACATGTTCATATCCTTGAAGATGTATCATGGAAGTGTTGCAGCCTAGAAGATACAAATTTAACTAACAAGTTAAAAGTGCATGAGTCAAAAATTGAAAAGCAATAATAGTCTGAGTAGAGGTTCTAATAGTGGCACAAATCAAGTTACAGAGGTAAGGTGGTTCCATTGCCATCCTTACTCTAACTTAATTATTTTTTTTTTAATTTGAATTTGTTATTAATTTCAGTGAAAATTTACAGAGGCTTTGGATTTCCATTCATTCATTGTTGTAGATTTGTCCCCTCCCAAGGCTTCCCCCCACCAGACATTACCTTCCTGGAAAAGTAAAAGATTCTTTCATTATTTTACAAACCCTCCCCCAGGTCCACTCCACCATGTAGCCATCGCTCTAGACTCCTGTCATGATAGAAATACCTAATCACATGTCTCTTTTAAACAGTTTTCTCTCTTCTCTGTTTCAGAGCAGGGTACATAGTCAATGAAACACAGATAGACATTCCTCTGGGACTCTCTGCTTTCCTCCAAGATCCATCTGACATTAGCGATAATATCCCTAGTAAAATGGCCCCTTCCATCTTACTAGGGATATTATCGCTAATGTCAGATGGATCTTGGAGGAAAGCAGAGAGTCCCAGAGGAATGTCTATCTGTGTTTCATTGACTATACAAAGGTATTTGACTATGTAGATCACAACAAATGGTGACTAACTCGGAGAAGAATGAGAATCCCAGAACACTTGGTTGTGCTTATGCAAAGCCTATACTTGGACCAGGAGGCAGTCATCAGAACAGAGCAAGGAAACACTGCATGGTTCAAAATTGGGAAGGGTGTATGCCAGGGATGTGTCCTATCTCCATACCTTTTCAATTTATGTATGGAACAGATTATCTGGAAGGCTGAGCTCTATGAGGAGAAATGTGGCATCAGAATTGGATGTAGACTCATCAACATTTTGCATTATGCAAATGACACAACCATGCTTGCTGAAACTGAGGAGGACCTGAAGCTTGCTGCAGAAGGTCAAGGACTGCAGTCTTTAATATGGATTGTTGCTCAACATCAAGAAAACAAAGATTCTCACCACTGGTCCAAGTGGCAGCATTATGATAGATGGTGAAGAGAATGAGATTTTTAACAGCTTTACTTTGCTTGGTTCCACAATGAGCAATCGTTTATTCCAGCAGCCAGGCAATTAAAAGATGAAGTGCACTGGGTGAAAGTCTGCTGTCAGAGATCTCTTCAGAGTACTAAAGAGCAATGATGTCAATCTGGAGACTAAGGTGCACCTGATTCAGGCCATGGTCTTTGCATCAGAAAGCTGGACAATGACTAGGGATGATAGAAGGGGAACTGATGCCTTTGAGCTTTGGTGCTGGAGAAGAATATCGAATATACCATGGACTGCTAGGAAAACAAGCAAATTTATCTTCGAGAGGTTGAGACTAGGCTTCTCCTTGCAGGAAAGGATTCTGAAGCTTCATCTGACATATTTTGGACATGTTGCAATGTGGGGAAGGATGTCATGCTTGGGAGGGTGGAGGGATACCCAGGAGAGGAAGACCCTCGATGACATGGATGGGACTAGGTGTGTCAGAGACAAGTTTGGCACAGGATAGAGCAGGGTTTAAGGCTGTTGTACATAGTGTCGGTATGAGTCACAGGTGACTCAATGACACATAACAACACAACATGTAAAAAGAAAGCGCATTAGGACAGAATTTAAGCCTGAGATTGGTAATTTCTTCCTGTATCACATCTGAACCTCAATTTTTTATTTGTAGAACTGTATACTTCATAGGAATATATTCACACCAATCTCATATTGTCATGCTAATGTGTGTATTTTTATATTTATTGTCACTCTGATCTAATTATTAGTTAGTAGCTTACTTGGTTCCACAATCAACACTCTTGGCACCAGCAGTCAGGAAATCAAAAGATTTGCATTGGTAAAGTCTGCTGTCAGGAACCTCTCTAGGGTACTGAAGAGCAATGATGTCTGTCTAGAGACTCAGGTGCACCTGATCCAGGCAAGTCTTCACAATTACTTGCTATGCATCACAGAGCTGGACAATAACAAAGGATGAAAGAAGAAAGATCAATGCCTTTGAATTGTGGTGTTGGAGAAGAGTGTTGAACATACTCTAGACTGTCAGGAGAACAAACAGGTCTGTCCTGGAGAGGGTGAAACCAGCTGTTCCCTGGAGGCAAGAATTTTGAGGATTCATCTTGCATTCTTTGGGCACATGGCCAGGAGGTACCAGTCCTTAGAGAGGGACATCATACTTGGGAGGGTGGACAGATAGCACAGGAGAGGATGACCCCGGGTGAGACCCATTGACTCAGTGAAATGGGATATAGGTCTGTTGGAGATAATAAGATTGGTTTAGGATAGGTCAGGTTCATAGTTTATGTACATAGAATCACTCTGAGTCTTAGCCAACTTGACGGCACATAAAAACAAGTTCAATATAGTTTGAAATTTCTACTAACACTACTCTCTCTTTTCTCTATTGTCAGTAGGCTCCATGAGACGGTCAGTCAGCTGCCCTCGATCTATCTCTACTCATTCACCATCCAATGGAGAGAATCGTCCATTTTCTGCCCAACAAGTGTTATCAGCATCCCGGCCAACATCGGGATCCCGGGCACATTCCCTAAACCGTGCTTCCTCCTACACGAAGCACCTGCCTCAGTGTATTGATGCCAACTCTACAAACTCACAGGTGATAGTCATTCATTTTACTCTTTGAAGATTTATAGAAATCTTTTTACTGAGAAGGGGCAGAGACCATCAGCTGGGAGGAGGCCAGAATGATCCTCAGATCCTTTCTATGATAAAATTTAGGGCTTCTTGAAACATATTTTTCTGTACAAGATTGTTCTGTGTTAGGCTAAAGTTTACCACACAATGTATTAGGGAACTTTTACAAGTTAGACTTGCTTATAATACAGAACTCAGTGATATACAATGAGAATACTATTACTGCACTTTGCATTTCATGCTGCAGTAGGAGAATTTTGCTGAATACTATTGGAGCGGATATTTAGTTTTTCCAGTATATCTTGCAATTTAATCTGTAAATTTGACAAATCATATCCAGTAGGACTCTTACTTGTTTGGAAGATTAAAAAAAATAATTGGTAAATTTTCCTTATAATGTTTACTTAAAAAAGAAATTTAAAAAAACCCCATTTATTTAAGTATGTTTTTTATATTTTAGAGAAAGAGAAAACACTCTCATTTTGTTAAGGAAAAATCAGACATTTATTGAAGTAACAAAATATTATTTGAAAATGTGAAATCCCCCAAATACAAAGCCCACCAAATCCAAGGAATGATTACAAGTCTCACATATTTACAGTCTCAAAATACAGTATTCTGATTGGATTACAATTATTGTCATCACTTAAAGGCAAAATAAAGAGAAACATGATTATTACCATTATTTGTTATATGGCTATATTAATCAGTTGTTGTTGTGTACCATCGAGTTAGAACCGGCCCATAGCTGACCCTCAGTCGAGTTTTCAGGGGCAGTAATTGCACAGAATGAGATGGCCCATTTTCCTCCTGCAGAGCAGCTCGTGACCTCAAACCCACTTGCCTTTGTGATTGTAACTCAGCTTCTTACCAGTAGGCCTCCAGAATTCTCTATTAAGCAGTTAAAATACATAATTATAAGATAAATGGTCATGGAGGACATCTCATGACTGGTTATTGAACAATGACATGGTGGATATTTTTTAGCACCGGCTGTGAAAAAAGGCCTTGCCCAGAACATAAGCTCTTTAGAACAAAAAGTTTTGATAAAATGCTGATTATTTAGTTACAGGCTTGGGGTATATAGTATGTACAGTGTTGTTGTTATATGCCCTCCAGTTGACTATGACTCATAGCAATTTTATATACAATAGTTCTGAACCCTGCCCTATCCTGAGCCTGTTTCTGTTTCTGATGCATCTACCCTTATTATTTCAGTTACTGTGTCAATGCATCTCATCCTAGATACTCCTTTCTTGCACTCTTTCAAGCATTATATCCATCTCCAAGGACTGGTCTCTCCTGGCGACAGGCCCAGACTATGTGAGATAGGTGTTTTTTAATCCTTGCCCCCAAGGATCTTGGCTTCATCCTCTCCAGGACAGACCAGTTTGTTCTTTTGGCACTCTATGTTCAGTACTCTTCACTAGCACCACAACTCAAAGGTATCCATTCTTCTCTCATCCTTATTCATTGTCCAGCTTTCTCATATGTAGTAAGTAATTGCGAAGACCATGGCCTTGAACAGATGCACTTTAGCCTCTTAACTGACATCTTTGATTTTTAGCATTCGGTAGAAGTCTCTGACTGCAGATTTTCCCAATGCAATTCATCTTTTGATTTCCTGACTGCTGGTGCCAAGGGTTGATTGTGGAACTGAGTAAACTGAAGTCGTTAACAACATGAATCTCTTTTCCATCTATTATTTTGCTGCCAATTGGCCCAGTTGTGAGAATCTGTTTTCTTGATGCTGTGTTTCAGTCCATATTGGAGACTGTATTCTTTGGCCTTCTGTAGCAAACAATTCAGGTCCTCCTCAATTTCAGCAAGCAAGGTTGTATCATTTGCATAGTACAGATTATTGATGAGTCTCCCTCCAATTCTGATGCCACATTCCTCCTTATAGAGTCCAGTCTCCTGAATAATGTGTTCTGCATATAGATTAAAAAGATATGGAGAAAGGACACATCCTTGACATTGACACATTCCTTTCTTGATTTTGAACCATGCAGTATTTCCTTGATGACTGTTTTCTGATCTAAGTATAGGTTTCTCATGAGCACAGTTAAGTGTTCTGGGATTTAATTTTTCTCATGGTTAGGTACAATTTGTTGTAATCCACACAACTCAAATGCATTTGCACAGTCAAAGAAACACAGGTAGACATTCCTCTGATACTCTCTGCTTTCAACCAAATACATTTGATATGATGTCCCTAGTAGTACAGCCTCTTCTAAACCCAGGTTGCACTTCTGGTAGTTCTCTGTCAGTGTTATTTTTTGATAGTTCCAATCATTTTTGGATAATCTTCAGGAGGATTTTGCTAATATATGATATTAGTGATGTTGTTCTATAATTTCCATACTCTGTGGAATCACTTTATTTGGAATATGAATAAATATGGATCTTTTCAGTCAGTTGTCCAGGCAGTTGTCCTCTAGATTTCTTGGTATAGCCTGGTGAGCAAATCCAGGTTTGCATCTTTTTGTTGAAATATGTCAGTTAATATTCCATCAGTTCCTGGGGCCTTGTATTTTGCTCATTCCTTCAGAGCAGCTTGAACTTCCTCCTTGATCACCATTGCCTTTTAACCATAAGTTGTTTCTGTGTTAGCCAGCTCTTTCTGGTAGAGTGACTCAGTGCACTCCTTCCATCTTCTTTTGATGCATCCTGGATCATTCAGTATTCTGCCCATAACATCCTTAAACATTGTAACTCATCACAAGAGTCCATAATTAAGGGTGCATAGTGGAGTGTACCTGAGGTGGTGGGAGGGGTCCGGGGGGATATTTTACATTCTTTATGGATGATATTCTTGATATCATTCCATTGCTCGCCTAGTATCTGTTCAATCATGTTCAACTCTTCAGACCTGTTCCTGAGATGGTTTTAAATTGAGGTGGGATAAACTCAAGTTTAAATTTTGGTTCTTGTAGATTTGTTCTAATTTTCTTTAGATTCAGTTTGAACTTGCGTATGAGTAGTCTGTTCCACAATCATCACCAGACCTGGTTTTATAGCTGATATTGAGCTTCTCCAATGATTCCTTCCACAGATTTAATCAATCTGATTCCTATGTTGGCCATCAGGTGAGATCCATGTGTATAGTCATCATTTTTGTTTCTTATAAAAAGTATTTATAGTGAATAAATCATTAATTGTACAAAATTGTATCATTTTTATCTTAGCCTGACTGAAAAAAAAAACACGCAAAAAAACCCCCAGCCAAACATCAGGTTTTTTAACAATAGAATTGATTCCTAATATTGGTCGAACTTCATTTAAAAGGTTATGTTGAACCTTAGTATTACTTGAACCATTTTTCTATAGGACACACAACTCTTCTGGTTTTATATTTTGCATAATTTATAATGATTTTTATATAGTAAATAAATATACTTTCAGATAATTTATTTTACAACCAGTAGTACTTTTAGATGCTCAAATAGATGTTCTCACATACTTCAGATTATCAATTTTACTTGTTTATTTAATGTGGATAGCGTTGTACAGAAAAGGGTAATAACTGTACTGAATGACTTTCATTTGATATCAGGTTTCTTTTTCTAATTAAAAGAAATTGCTTGAAGCGTATCTACCAAATAAATCTGATCATGAAGTCCTTCTTAAACCTCATACTTTCATTTTAGTGTTTTGAATTCAATAAAAATTATAACTGTGTAGAAATATGAAAGACACTCTTTAGAATTAATATTTAATCCTAGGGATTTATTTAAACGTCATAATATCAATATTTCATGCAGTACAGTTAATTTTTACTACAATTTACTATAGCTCGCTTACACAAATCTAGGGAGCTCTGGTGGGACAGTCTGTAGGGACTTGTACTGCTCTTCAAATCTGACCTTCCCTGCTGCTTCAAATCCACCAGCATCTTTGTGGAAAAAGATGGACAAGTTTCAGATTTGCAGCCTTCTTCACTGAAAAGTCACCACTTTAAGGCAGTTAGTATTTAGTGACAATTAATTTGAACTTCTGAGCTTACATAAATTGTTATATAAATATATATAGTAATATATATACTGGCCTAGTGGCAAGAAGCTGCGCTGAAATCCCTAAGGCATGCAGTTTAAGGCCACCAGCTGCTCCTCTAGAGAAAAATCTCTTCCAGTGTGATTAGCTGGCTCTGAAAATCTGCCAGAGGGTCATCTATGGGTCTGTTCTGACTTGACGGTACACAACAACAACAAATATGTGTGTATAAATAAATAATCTAGCATATTCCCCCCCTCCTCTCCCTCTCCCCCTTCCTCCTCCTCTCTCTCCTTCTCCCTCTCCATCTCCATCTCTATCTTTCTATCTTGGAAAGAGAAGTGACATCCACTTCCTAATAACATACCTCCAGAAACCTTATGAACTTTGATAAATGTCATTAGTTGTAGAGGGACTTCAAGCCTTTTGCTCATAGGGTCACTATGAGTCGTGGTTGACTCAAAGACAAACAACAACAACAACATCTCTGTATTTTGTAAGATTTTGTCTTTTTTCTTTCATACATGCAACCTACAAATATATTTCAGATTAATTTTACACAATAATATAAGACCCCATCAATATATATTATTCTTTTTTTATTTTTTTAAATTATACTGGTTTCTTTACAAAATTTGAATACATTATTTTTCAGAACCGATTCTTCCAATTTCCCTAACTCTCCACCCATCAAATTGTACAACCTCATGATTAATCCTCCCTCCCCCCCACATCCTCATCCCTCTGCTTCCGCCCTCCCCCGCTTTGGATCCTTATACTCATTCTACAATAATAGTTTTATAATATATGTATTCTTTACATTTAAGAATGGGTCCTTGCAGCGACAGAAAACAAAAGAACAAGAGGATGAACTAATAAGTCAGACTTTATTTGTTCTCATGGACATGAAGATACGATTTCCAGGAAAATCAGAGGCAGAATCAGAACTTCTGATAGAAGACGTGAGTATTTGATGTATGTAAAATTCCAAGGAACTCATACTTTTTAATATTTCTTCTTGCGTCTCAATTGCATTATTCTCCACACCATAATAAACTTAATTGAAGTTCTTTTCCTCCTCTATGTTTTACAAACTATAGATGTTTCTTTTAGTTCATGAAGTGGGATCATATTAGTAATCAGCAGTGCCAAATATCTTCTGGAATGATACAGTATTACAGTGACAAAATCATCTCACCAAAGAAGGATTAGTATTAAATAATTATTGTTCTTAATGTTTAGAAATATATCAAGTTAACTCTGCTTCTACAAGACTCATAGGGAGCTCTGGTGGTCTGGTCAGTAAGGAGCAGTGCTGTTCTCATGTGTCCCAGTGTGAGGAAGTGACCTCACTAATCAGGAGATTCCAATCAACCAGTGACTCTGTGAGAGCAAGATGAGCACCTCCTTCCAGGAGATTCACAGCCTCAGAAAACCTGCCTTGAGGCTCAGCTATGAGCAAGCCCACTCCACAGCACATAGTAATAATGACAGTATGAACTGCATTGTAATGAAAAAGTGACATTCCAGTGCAAAATGTCAGGAGGACTAGAATTTAACACTTTAGTTGAATATTGTAATCAAAGAAAATAAGAAAAGTATATTTATATATTGTTGTTGTTATGTGCCGTCGAGTCGCCTGCGACTCATAGAGACCCTATGTACAACAGCCCTAAATTCTGCTCTGTCCTGTGCCAATTGCACTGTCTCTGACACTCCCAACCCAATTATCCCAGTCACTGAATCAATCCACCTCATAGAGGGCCTTCCTCTC